ATAACAATCGCATACTAGAATTGAAAGGAAAATCAGCCGTACCGAATGACATGCCTCCTGTCGTGTTTAGTCTGAAGCGTTCAGACCACGCTCCTTTAAAAGTTATGGTTTAATGAGCGAGTATGCAAAACAATTATACAGGTTTAGAAAGTAAATTATAAAGTAAACACAAATAATGTGTGTAACCAAAAAGTGATAGCCGAACTGCGATCATTTAATCCCATCATCATCATCATACACGTTGGCTGAAAGTGGAAAACACTGGTATTGGGCCCAAATGCAACATACAAGGAGAAGAAAACTCGTGGCACAGTGGTTGGTTACTCAGGAACGAATGGTTATGGTTCAGAAGAGCTAACAGCCGTCTATCGTGCTGTAAAAGGTTACTTCCTGTCTAACGAATGACATCGTTGTTATAGTGGGCAGCTAAACTGTAGGAGGATGGACGAAGGAAAGCACAAAACAGATGCCATTGGGGCTGGCTCCTAGACATATCAATATTTGTGTCCAACCAAACTTTCTCATCCTCATTTGGATGCACCAACCGAGGCCGACTTTGCATCGAATGTTTGCATTTCTATGTCCAATTCATCGGTTGGCCTTACCTCTCCCTCTTCAAACCACACTTCTGGTGCGCAAACGATGCACCTCGCGATAGTCCATGTGCTGGCATGCCCAACACATGGCCTAAACATCGCAGTTCAGTGCGCGATATAATGGTGCTGAGCGGTTCACTCGCTATTCCTGCAACAAATACGCGACGGCAAACAGGCCCATTGCTTGCGCCATGCTCCCACCAGACATGAGTTAAGCACCTATTTCTTGTGAGCAATTTTATGTAAGTCGTCACGAGAGATACATTATGCGAACCGGCGATTTACCTACGATGAAAAGTTTAAGTTTACGAACGATATTACGCAAAAAGCGAGTCCGAGTTTAAAGTTATTCTTTTCGGTGTCTTGAGCCAGCCTGGGCACACGTTTGTAAGAAAGATTTAATGTTGACTTGGCCATAAATGTAATCATTATTTGACGATTTCAAGAAAGTAACACCATCGATTTCGTACGTTCTGCAATATCCGTAGACACTGAGGACGGTAACAGGCAAATACCAAAAGTTATTGTAAGGAAAATTATACTATGCGTTTACATGCAACTCACCCGTTGACCTGTTTATAGGCTGTTTTGTTGTATCGGCTGTAGTAAAGCCGATTAAGGTTCTTTCGGGTACTGAAAATATAACAAAATGTGGTAGCAGAGTATGTCAACCATGCGCATCAACCACAGTTATGGTTTGTGATGTACAAGGATAGCTATGGACTTTCATTAGTATAAATGGTCAACATAAACCGAAGCGTTTGTACACGGTCAAGACAAATGTGAATTTCAAGCGACCAAACTGCCTTGATCCCTCTCATGGCAGATCATCAATTGGTAACAAACAAGAGAAAGACGTCCCTGTCTTCTTTTCTCATTACTAAACATACTTCGGAGTTACTCAAATCAATAATTCCATCGGATTCAATCGTTTGCCTCGAACAGCATTGTTACCCCTTCGATCTTCAAAACAACGTCTGCCACCAAATGCTCGTTGAGACAAACGTAGTAAAACGCTTTCGATATAATTCCCGCTTATAGCGCAACGCGAGAAATCTAGCAAATCGATTTATGCACACCAGTAACACCGCAATGGCCTACTCAAACTGCGTTCCGAATATCCGCATTAATTGTGTAGCCAATGCCTTGAAGCTTTTGATCAAGGTCGCAGTTATACAACCGTTATGTCCATTCTATTAAGTGACAGAACATGAGTTCCTCGAAAATACAACACTGCAGCTAGCATACGTGGGTGGAACCGAATCTGATGGTTGACGGCTAGATACGATCTGAGGTAAACAGCTTAGTGTTTTGCCATAAACATTTACTTCATATTGTGTACTCTCAATAGACGTCAGAATAGAGTAATAATTGCTAGGCCTGGTCAATATGAAGCTAAGCTTGTCTGGTGCGCCACAAATTTGGCAAGTAAACTCTGGTGGTTTTCACAAATACAAGAACACGGCGAGCAGGCATATAGGAATTAGATACCAGGAGATTTGGCTACATGCCGCTATTATAATTACGGATAACCAGGTGTAATCCTTGTCCTATATACCTGATAGTAACTAAGCCGAAAAGCTTTGCTTGCGAATACGGAAGACTGTATATGCTTCAAGCTTTCTCTAGTCTAAATCGAACTGGTCTGATGTTGTTGTCAACAGAAACTGCTATTGAAAACTGAGGCTAATTCATTTCCACGTTGGGAGAAAGAACAACTAACTTGGACCTACATAAGGTTTTCCTTTGGCTATCGACACGGTGCTCGGTGGCACTGGGCGCTATGAAGTAAACAAGAGTAGATCCGAAAAGGCAAACATAAGACATCAATTATGATTACAGGTGAAGTTCACGCAAATGTTTGTTCGATCTTTCAAAATCATATTGTCATAAAAGCACCACCTGTTTTGAACTTGAGATTGTCGGGTGTAATTTCGATAAAGCATCTTTCTTGTGCACAGATATTCTTAATCAATAATCTCTTATTTGTTCTGAGATTTCAGGCTAATTCACAACAACTTCACATTGAATTTGCGAGACATTAGTACTAGCTATACCTCTTTGACCTGTGCCGAATATGGAGCAGCTTCAAATTTAATTAGACACATACCCAATAATATTATTATAAACTTGATCAATTTGGAGTACCATAACTGATGCAAATTATCAGAGAGAATGCGGTCTGTCTTTAAGCAAGTTCGGTTATCTTGACATGCGCATGGACATTAGGACAGAAATGCTAGGACTATTGTAGAAGCTATAGGCTGTTGCTAATTTTTGGGACAATTAGAGAAGCTATGTGCTATGCAGAATTAAAAAGTAATTGAGTCTGGTCATGATACAACCAGCGGTATACTTCATATGATGACGGCAGTTATACTTCGTTTGCTTAGATCAAGGATTAGTTAGGCGTACCTGTTGTATTATGGAAAAAGTTAGAGTTCGCATCACCTGTAGGGACACAAGGATAACATTAATCAAGTATAACGCAAACGTGAAGTATTTTAAAGATGAAAATAGGCTGTCACATTGGAAAAGTATAACAGTTGTCCAAATCTATTCTGACTAACATTTTGCTTCATTTCCTTCTACGAAGTGACCCATGCACGACATCGATACTGAAAGCAAACATTTCATGGAACTGCTCCTGAACCTAAATAATAGAAGCATATCCACGTGCAGTATTGAAATGCTACTGTGTAATGGCATTCATAACTTTAGTGCTCAAGAACAATCTTTTACCATCGTGAGTACCTGCAAGACAGTGTAGCTTTGGTTGCGTTATATCCCAGTTACCTGACAAGTACAGATGACCTGCAAATATTCTCCATGTCTCAGTGGCATAAGCTGCTGGTTAGTTGGCATCAGCTGCTGGATGTCATGTGTCCGATCCCAAACAGTGTACCGCGTCGTTGCCACCGCGGATGAGCCCAATACGGCAAAATGATTGTCCGGTGCTTTCCCCGATATGGCTATTATAAGCTGGCTTGTGTGCAGCTGTGATAAGCCAGTAATATTGCAACAAACTGCTAATATCATTGGAGCAAAGTACGAAAGTTCAAATAAATGATTAGGATGTTTCACAATATGTGACTACACGAAGCCTACACTATCCTATCCTTCAGAGTACTGCTCACTACCTTCACTTGCGTCTAAAAATGGCAATGGCAGAATTATCTCCAGAACTTGAAGTAATGTGCAACTTTGCTTGTTTGAAAAATTTTCAAGATATCCCATCACGTTATGTGTGTCTCGTTGTAACAATTTATCCACGGATCACCAGTGCGAGGGTTTTGTCTACTGTGAAATTCCACCACGTTAGACACTGTGTGTCTGCTATGAATTTGCCAACCGATTTAAAAGCAGTTGCATCCCAGTTAAGGCAATGTTTATACGTGTAATCAAGATACCTACCACTCATTGGTAAATTATCAAGTCTAGTTTCGCTTTTTGAGCCTTGGTCAGTAGTGCCAGCTACAAAATTATATATATAGATTATACAGGTATGTCAAAAGGAAGGAAGGTATCGAGTGACCATGGTGAATATACGCTTATTTGTGATGAAATATTTGCGCTGTATTGCCCGTCTATCGAACGCCGGTCTCTACTGATACACGTCGAAATTCCTCCCACATTTTGGATCTGTTCCACAAGAACATAATCAGACAAATGCAGTTCCGATAAAACAGGAATTGTCTGCGAAATGTTATTATGTGTTTTGCTGAATTTCGTTGCAAATTATACATTCTCATTTATCACAAATTTATTAGTATATCTCTATCAGGCCGGCAGGCAAAAATAATGACATACTGGTATTCAACATTGTTCATATGGCGTGCGCAGATCATTTCAAATGCAACCTTATTGCTAGTTAGGCGTTATAGTTGAAGATTGTTGTTTATTTCAAACATTTTTGTGTTCAAGTTAATGTCCAATAAGGCTGTTTTCCCAAAAGATGTCTCTAAATCTTATATTTTTGGACAAAATACACCACTTATCGTAGCTACGTTCGTAAGAATGAAATCTTGTTTTCCTATTTCCTGCTGTAATTTTTGGTTGCACATGGGATTGGAGTAATTTGTCGGTACATACCACACGGAAAACAGCCAGGATACTTAAAGTCTTTTATGACATGTACGTAGCTTAAGCTGTACATAACATTTATTGATCGCGACAATTGGCATGGAGCATAATCCGCTAATAAATAATGAAATCTTAATAAAATTGCTACGGAATTTTAGCGCAATGAACACACACTTAGTAGTTTTTATGGTTAGTATTAATTATCGTATGGATATTACTACTCTATACTAAGTTCTTCTGGAAAACTTTCATTACAATTCTTCACAAATACAATTTTATAGGCATATATGTGCAATTAGTATCGGAATGCTCATATCCGAAGCGACAATTCTTGCTGTCAGGTTGTACATAACAGCATGAAATATTTTCGCATTACAAAGCATTTAGAAAGGAGCGCTTCTGGAAAGCAAATAAATCAACCTAAGGATTCGTGGCATGAGTTGTAAACCTTTCAAGCTTAAATTGCGTTGGCTGTAATGAACAACTTGATTCAACAATTTTATCAAAAGCAAACTGTTCAAATTTTGGTTTGGGTTTCTGCCTGGAAATTAACATGAAACAAACTGACTCCGAACCATTTGCAGTGATATATAATTCACGAGCGCAAATAAGTGAAACATTTGCTTTCCGAAATGCTATATCAACACTAACGTAGGAGGGTCTATAATTTTTCCAATGGGGATAGCGCATGGAAATTCCAACTTGTGGTTACTTAACGGACTGGCATAGAGCAAGTGATAAATAAATAAACGGCTGATTACTCTGGCTGTCACATCTCTTTAGAGACTATCGCAACCATGATAAAATTAAAAAGTAAGTTGTTCTCTAGATGGTAAAGTGATGTACCCCTATAATGTGTGCCAAATTTAAAGTTGAATTTGGAGTGTACTCGCTGATTGATTTGATTGCAAAATGTAATCGCTATTGAGCATTCGGTTCACATTAATATAGACCACAGTCATTCAGACTATAAAGGCCGTTTGCGAATTGGAGGCTATATGGTGTTAACTCTCCCAATAATGTACTGGCATGCTTAATGACTCTTGCTAATCCACGAGAAAGTCGCACCGATTATTAAAGCGGCATTACGTTATAAGCTGTTACATGAAAGTATGATTGCTGAGCTAATAAAATTTCTAAAATTTCATATCGGTATTCTGTGTAATAGTGAAGGAGAATAATTCATTGTTAAAACAACCTATATCTGTTCTTCTAGTTGAAACCACTGGTGCCTTGCGGCACGAAATTATTCATGGGTAAAATGCCGTTGCTTTATAGCCGGAATCAGCGTGTAGGCAAAAAAGCATCTTTTTGGTAATCGGGTAACATAAATTAAACAGATTAAGGCAGTTTTAGATTTGATCATCAAACGGAATTATTACTTCTGAAAGTTCATTTTTTAATATGCCATGAAATATACATGGCTGATAACAAACAATAGGATTCAACCAAATTCAACAAGTCGTACCTTTTTCGCTGCTTCCACCGTGCTCATTAGCCAAGACTAAACCGGAAAAGCGTAGGGCATCAGAACGATCTAATGATCATCTAAGATTATTAATTATTCATCATATATGATTCCGTTACATACCGTTGCGCTGATAACCCTCTATATGTAATGGTGAAACACCCACATATTAGTTCTTTTTAGATAAACGACATTTTGTCCGAAGTGTGATAAAACGTTGTATGTTTTAAAACAGACTCGATGGTAGACGCACGACCGTAGCTCTAATGACAAAGCGTAGAAAGAGTAAAGCACTCTCGCCTCACCATTTCACCTAACTAACATACTGTGTTGGGTTGTAAACTGGGTTCATTGCATCATATTAATAAACGTGGTTAATCAAGATGAATTACCAACCGAAAGATCTTTTACATGTTATGCACTGCCTTGCTCGTGTGCAGCATGACATATATAAGCTACAGGTCGGTCGCGTGAAAGAACTTAGGGACGATGACGAGCATAATATGACTACTTCGGTAAAGAGGAAGGTGTCCCGTTGAATAATATGTTCAAACATACACGTTGCTCAATTTAGTTTATCTACCATTTGCATGAAAGTAATATATTGGCAGTTGGATAACGCAACCTAATCAATATAATGTAAATATCCTCCATCATCCAGAAGTAGGAAACAATTGTGATATCGACAGTTGTGCATACAAAATGCCGCATAGGTTTGCATGTTGCCTTGTTTAAAGGCAGCATGCTTTTGCTCTTTTCTACGTAATGGTGAGCATTTTGCGCAAATTCAAAGCAGAAAGACTCATTTGGACAGCCACTGCATACCCAGGAACGTGCTAGACGAAAATATCATTCAATGGATTCTCGTCATCAGCGTGCATACATCAAATCCTCAATTATTTGAAAGCATGCTTTACACCTTGCGGGTTGGAGACCAATGTCACTGACGCATGGTTGACGGCAGTTAACAGATTTTACTTGTATAACGTTTGGAATCCGGAGGCTCCTGGAATCCGTGAGGATTCGGCCGAGGCTCGCTTATGATCATACCCAATATTATGAAACAGTCCTTTTGCACTTTCCTGGATGTGTAATGGAGCAATGGTATATACCGGTTACAAATCAGATTATTGAAAATGTCAGTAGGATGGTTGACGTGGCAACTAAAAGATAACCTTGTGTCTCTGAATATGCAAGTGCTTTCTATTAGTACGTATGAGCGTAATGGTAAGCGTCACTGAGTTTTTCGCACCAATACCGTCGACTGCTGGTCTCCGCTAATGTCACGTACTGTAAGTAAGTCACGATATAACCAATGTTTATTTCGTATGGAGACTATTTAGGAGCATTTTGTAACTGCGCTGGAAGCGAACTCATGTTCTGTGTTATTCCGAGGTAGAAATACTTTATTTGACATTCCACCTGACTGTAGTACTTAGCCAAAAGTAACTAGTGTCATCCAGACGTGTATTTTTGCTGCGTTGAGGACGAGGATGTAAAGTCTGTTTATGAATTTTAGGGTCTAATACAACATTACGTGTTCGCCGATAGATTAGGATATTCTCAGCTAGGTGGATCTAAGTTATACGGAATGGTTAACTTGAAACGCTGGGATCTACAATGTGACGTTCTTCGTCACCGTATTTTTTTCATTCTTACAATTGTCCAGGTGATGCGTCTGCCAGGTTTTCAACATTTGGATAGCGTATTCCGACTGCAGTATCACATTTGCGCCATAAACGCTCAGAAATGCTGAGGCGCTGAAGACCCCGAGAACGTGTAAGACACAACCAAAAGGAGTCCGCATTGCAGACTTTGCGCAGGATTCCAATATCTATGCTCAGATGATTAATGATCCACCGGAACAGTCATTATTCTACTGACATAACCCTCTTCTTCG